GGCCAGCCTGGCACTTGGGTGACCCTTGAACCTGAGTCTGCAGGAGTTGTCCAGGTACTGGAATGGTCCTGGTACTTAGATCCATGGGGAAAGGCCCGGAACCTGAGTCCATGGAGACTGACGTGCACTGGGGTGGGTGTAGAGCCTGAGTCTGTGGGAGTATGTTTGGTTCTTGGGCATCAGCCTAACATCAGTGCCTATTCTAATGAACATGGACCTGACTCTGCAGTCAGGTCAAGTTTAGAATCTGGGTCTACAGGGAGAGTTCTGGCGTCTTGGTCCACAGAAGCCAACTTAGCATTGGGATCTATTATAAAAGGCCTGGAACCTGGGTCTGCTACAGCATGAGGACATGGGGGCCATTTTTGAGCATAGAGTTTTACTTGGTGTACCTAGAATCTCTGTCTGCAGGGGTCAACCTGAAGGCCAGATCCACAAGTGTCAGTCTAGTGCTTAAGGTAACGGAGGCCAGCCTGTATTTTGCATCTACAAGTACCAATCTGCTACCAAATTGGAGACGGAGGCAGAGTTCACATGTGTTGGCCTGGTGTCTGTGATCATGAGGGTTAGCCTAGTTTTTGGTATACCTGGAGCCTGCATCTGCAAGGACTGGCCTAGAGGCTGAGTCTGTGAGGGCTAGCCTTGAGTCTTAGGCCATGGATGGTCAACTTAAACCAAGTTCCATAAGGGCAGTTCTGGTGCCTGGATTCACAAAGACTGGCCCAGTGCTGAGATCTACTGAGTCAGGCCTGGACCCTTGGTCAGATGAAACAGGCTTGGACCCAGGGTCTGCTAGATTGTGGGATCTCAGGATCCAGTCTGGAGACACAGGTACCAGCCAGATACCTGAAGGCATGGGGACTGGCATGGTTCTGGTCTTCAGGTGTCATTCTGTCATCAGTGACTCCAGCCTTGGAGCTGCAGCAAGCTTGAAGTTTGGGTACATGTGGGACCAACCTAGTGTTGGAACAGTCTGATTCCTGGGGATATAGGGGCTCTCTGGACCTGGAGTCTGTGAGGACGTACCTGGTTACTAGGGTTATGGTGGCCAGCGGGGCAAGACTGTCACCTTGTGGAGATCTGGAGCCTGAGTCTGTGGAGTCAAACTGGATCTCTGGGAGTTGACCTAGAATTAAGGTGGGCCTAGAGGCTTGATCTATGGATGCAGGCCTAAAATTTAGGTCTGCAACTTCCAGCCTGGCACAGGTAAAAGCCTAGAGAATGAGTCCTTGGTGGCTGTCCTGAAACCTGCGGCCATGGTGGCTTGTGTGGTACTGGGTTTTACTAGGGCAGGCCCGATGGAGTCTAAGGCAAATTTCAGTGCTCGCTTTACTCTCTTCTCCCAATGCAGAAGTTATGTCTCTCCACAATGTGCTGCCTCAGGTTGGGAAAAGGATGATGTCAATAATGTAAAATTGCCCTTCTTACCCTCTTCAATATGTCTTACAGAATGTATGTCATGCACTAGTTCTTTTTGTGTTGTTATAAAGGAATACCTGTGGTTAGGTCATTTATAAAGAAAAGTGATTTATTTTGGCTCACAGTTCTGAAGACTTTACAAAAATCATAGTGTCCACATCTGCTTCTGATGAGGCTCTCAGGAAGTGAAGGGGGAGCAGGCAAGAGAGGGAGGAAGAGAGATGCCAGGCTCTTTCAAATAACCAGCTCTTGAGTTAACTAATAGAGCAAGAACTCATTACCATGGAAAAGGCACCAAACAACTTATGAAGGGTTTGCCCCCATGACACAATCACCTCCCACTAAGCCCTACCTCCAACTTTAGGAATCATATTTCAACATGAGGCTTGGAGGCAAAAACATCCAAATCATGTCACTGTGCTACACTCAGGTGTGATTCTCAAGTGCTTTCCTTAGCTTTTGTGAAGATATTTTTCAGTGTGGACAAGCACTCGATGGTCCTATTCCACCATCTTCTTCAAATCATTCATTATCAAGTTTCATAGATTTTAAATTTCCAAAGTTTGGGGTAAATTTTAGTTATTTTTTGTCATTAATTTCTAGATTCATTCATCTGTAGTCAGCAAACATATGCCATAAATTTTTAATACTTTGATACTTGTTGCAAATTGCTTTACAGCCCAGTATATGGTCACTGTTTTTAAATGTTCTATGTGAATTTGAAAAAAAATGTGTGTTATGCAGTTGTTGGGTTTGTTGTATTTATAGTGCATCAGACCTTGCTACTCAAAGTTTTCCTTAATCTCTATTGATATATTTTTGTCTTATTCTGTCAGCTACAAAGATAAGTATAATAAGAGTTCCAAGTGTATTTGTGAGTTTGTCTATTCTTACTTTTAGTTTCATAATTTTGTTTGCTTTATATATTCTAAAGGGATTCCATTTGGGTATATAAAAATATAGGATTGTTATATCTTCCTAATGGATTAGCCCTTTGGTCATTATAAAACACCTCTCTCTTTGTCTTATAGTCTGACATTAGTATAACTCCATGGCTTGCTATTATTAGGGTGTGCCCAGTGTCTTTTCTCCTTTTTATTTTCAACCCTTTTGTGTCCTTATAGTTTATGTGTATTTCTTACAAGAAGAATATAGTCAATTTTTTAAATCCACCATAATATTTTTCTTTGTAATTTGTTTATTTTTATACCGATTCCTTTTTATCTAAGTTTAAATTAAACATCTCACTTTTTATTTATTATTTGCCTATCTATTTGTTCTTTATCCTTTCTTACTTTCCTGTGTATTTATCAAGCATTTTTACTACTTTTCCCCCCATGGCAACTTATCAGTTATACTTTTTTGGTTATTATTTTGTGGTTATCCTAGAGATTACAACACTTATCCTTTGACACATTAGAGTTTTACAAAAATTAGTATTTCCTCCACTTCCCATACAATGCAAGTATCTTACAACACTTTGATTCTATTTACTCCACTCAATTTTTGTACTATTATTCCCATATTTTAATGTATTTCAATTTTAATTGATTGTTGTTACTGGTGTTTATAAATAATATTCAAGTTCTGTACAAATATTTGCTCTTTTGGTGTTCTTTATTTTACCACATATTCAATGTAGATCACCTTAGGTCATTTTTCTCCTGCCTGGAAAATGAAACTTTATTTTTTTATTTGTATAAATATCACTATATTTAATCTTAATTTTTAAAGACCATTTAAGTTTTGTTAATAATCTGAAATTGGCAATAGTTTTCTTTCATAACTTTCTTTTAATCACCTATATACCAAAGAAGTACAGACATATTATTTTATAACATAAAGAAAAACTAAGAATACACTGTGGAAATAAAGAAAACTGCTCAGAAGTTTAAATGTTTGAATTTCCTATCATTTGAAACTGAGACCGTGTCTATATAAAGCAAATATTTAATATTTGCCTACATTGTCCATTTTCTCACTATTTCATAGTTGTCTTTTTTAGTGTTCTCCAAAGTGAGATGAATGTGAAAGAAAATACATTAAAGTGTAGGAATAAGATATTAGAACTTCAATTTATATATTTCCTTCAATATTTTCAAATTTTCTATTTTACTATATGATTATAATGTATATCATTATAGTAGACTATGACTATGCATACTATATTAAGTTGATGTCTTCAAAAGTGTCTATCAATAAAAATCTTTGAAAAAGGAAGCTTACTACTTTAAATAACTAAATAACTAATGATGTGTGATTACTTACTACTTTAGACTATGGGAAGGAAGTCAAACCTCAGTGAAAATATAAAGTTTTTTGTCAGTATACAAATGCAGTGATCAAACCAGCATACCATATTCCTAAACTGTTAAATTTCCAATAGTATAGGTCGTAATATCTTTCAGCTACTCCATTGAATTATAATGACTAATAGGTCATTAATCAGTTGCCTTTGGAAAAAACAAAAACACAAAGTTGAACTTTCAGATATCAATAAAATTTTCTAAGACCATTCAGAGCAGTGGTTTTTAACCAAAGCTGAGTATCCAAATCATCTGAGAGAGTTTTAAAATATATCCGTGATTATTTCAACCCAGAGATTCTGATACATGGGTCTGGGAGCAGTTTTCAGATATATTTTTGTTTTTCAAAATTCAAAATTTATTCTGATGTCTATCTCCAGATAAGAACCACTGGATTAGATATTTTGTTTCTGTGCCTCCAAAGTATTTCTTATGTTAATTGTTATTAAATGATGAGTATGGGCAAGTTTTGTGCTGGGCACTACAACTTTATAAAATAAAAATAAATTTTACCCAAATTAAGTACATTTTAGCATTTTTACTTGTTTCGTGTTTAAGAACTTAATGATTTAGGTCAGTCAAAAGAGTTAAGCTCTACGGAGAATGATTACATAAGCATAATCTATGAATTAGCACTGCCCCAGCTAACTTATTAAGGAAGGAGTAACGTTTTCACAACAAATTATAATATGCTTATACTTAGGAGACAATATTGATTGGTACCAAATTAAATGAATACCTTCCAAATGGAAAATATCATAGATCAATTTTCCTGTGTGTAGAAACAATTCAAAATCCAGATCAAAATTTACATGTACTCTCCTCACACATCATCATTTAAATTTTAAAATATTTCAAAATATTTAAATATTTCAAAATATTTAAATTTTGAAAATATTAAAAAGATGTGAGATTTTTTTCAGAACTAATTTAGTGAATTAAGAAAATACTGGTTTAAACCTTTTCTCCAGAGAATTTTTAAAGGGGAAACTGTTTAAATTTAATGTTGTATATAATTAAGTAAAATATTTTATTTTATAAATTGTCAAGTTACTGTTTTTATTTTAGAGTTTGTTATATTATATTTTGTTTAAATTTCTGGTGAAAATACATTTGGTGTTGGGTAGGAGGACTATAATCTGAATTAAATGTAGATACTTTTAGATCATGGAGATCAGAGAATGCATGAGTTATCAAAGTGTTGTTATTGAAGGCCTATTCATAATAATAATATCTATAATAAAATTTAATTAAAACATTTTCTTTTTTTAATAGACTAGAAGTAAACATCAGAACATGCGATAATTACAATCCAAGTAAGAATTTAGTTTTTGAATTTTATATGTTTTATATTTGAAAATAATTTTAGGACTTAATAACTAGCATCTTTCAATAAATTTGATAAAATAGAAATTGCTCTGAATTTTTGTTAAAATGTAATGGAAACATGCATGCATGTGTATACATATGTGTATGTTGCTTCATGTATATGTATGTGTGTAATACATTTTTGCCCTTGCTGCAGGTTACTAATAGCTGGTCTAAAAGAAAATATTTTAGCTTCAGTTTCCTCATTATACAAACAAATCTTACTTGCATATAATTCCCTTGTGTTTAGAATTCATAATTACAAAACCTAAAGTAGAGAAAGAAAATATTGTTAAAGAAATTAAAGTGGCTAGTGAATAGTCCATTTGTTGAAAAGCTGCAACTTTAAGAAATTTCACTTTAGCATATTGAGCTAAAATCTGCTACACGGCTATAACTATTATCCATTGGTTCTAACCTTTTCCTAACTGATGAAGAGCATGAGTTCTGGAGCCAAACTATCTGTTTTTGCATTTAACTCTAGTACTCACTAGCTTTATGGTGTGACACATCCCATTTAATCTTTCTCTATATCTGTGCTTCATTTTTTCACATATGTAAAATAGAAACAATTATAATATCTAATTCAATGAATTGTTGTAAAGATTAAATGAGTTTACTACAATGCTTAGAGCACAGTCTGGCAATTATACTATTATTATCACTACTATTTTAACTCATTTAAATCCTTTAAATATCTAAATATAGTGATACATTTCTCATTTGCTTTCTCTTCTCCAGGAGAGCTAACATGAGTTTGCTCACCACTTCCTTTTTTGATATAATGTTCATAAAATTTGATCTTTCTGATCACTCTGTTCTGGATGCTCTCAAATGTGTATATACCTTCTTCAAATATAATTTTCAGAACTGAATGCAGTATTTCAGTCTAAGTCCCTAATTTCTGTGACTTTGGATGCCAATGAAGTCTGAGGGGTGCTAAAATAAACAGTCAGATGGAACCAATAAATATTTTATTGACAGTTTTATTTTCAACAACATGCTAGTCATTGTGGGGACTACAGTAGGAAAAGTCATATTGCCTGCACTCTAACTAAAATGACAAAAAAAAAAAAAAATAGAGGAGATGATGAAGATGCTTGAAAGGCAAGAGTGAATCTTTTTCTATTTTTCATTCTACTGTTGGATTATATTATTTTACAATCACAATTTAAATAACTATCTGTAAAACTTGGTTTAATCTAGAAAATAAAGTTACAAATAGCATTTTAAACATAATTCAATGCTAAATGAGAAAATTAGTTTTCATTTTTGCCAACTGCTATGCAAATAAACTCCAAGGGGAAATCTATATTTTAATTTATAACTTAGTTAATTTAAATGATATATTTCTTACTTAAGAATATTTCAATGCTGATGAAAACCTGGTATTAACTCCAAGTTGTTTATTGTCTTTGCTCATTTTAGTCAATGAATCAATCCAAAAATCATGGAATCAAGAACACTTTTCTTTGACATTTTCCAAACCATCCCAGCCAGCTATAAAAAAGAGATCAAGGCCTTCAGAATCACAAATCACAGTTCCTGTAAGTATAGAAAATGTCATATTTTAAAACTAACACTACATTGATACAATAAATATAAATAAGGCATATGTAATTTGAATCATACTACCTATTGGATGCAGAAATTTAATGTAAAACTATCTGTGCAACATATTTCCCTCACTTGCTTCAGATTAAATTCTTATTTGTACATGATTCTCCACATCAGAGTCATTATCTAAGCAAGTTGAAGAACCTAATGTTGTAACTGGTAGTAGTCTATCAGGAAATGTTTGCCAGTTGTAAATGGAACTAAATTTCGAAACTTAGAGAAGAAACTAGTCTTGACGAGGTTTCAGGGCCTCCCCCTCCCCTTTTTTTATCTGACATTCAGGATACTTGATACTAAGTGATTCAAGTTTCCTCTGCATCTATAAAATGGAGTTACCCTATCAATTAGCAAAAGGAAAAATCAGCAAACATGGATCACCCATTGTCTTAACAAAATACTTTTAAAGCATCTCAAATAGCAAAGTTACAGCCAATGCACTCATTCAAGGGCATTCATTACATCTATTGCGACCCAAGTTTCACGCTTCTCTTCATGGTCATCCTTTAATCTCAGACTACCATTAGATTGTGAGTGACTCTACTGGAGAGTTGAGGCAGTAGAGGAAGTAAATATAAAATCAGTCTTTGAGGCTAATTATGATAGCCATATTTGACAAATGTTTGGATGGGAGTTGAAAATAAATTACACCACTGCTACATAAATTAACATGGATCAAACATTTATTTGTTTCATTTATATCTTTGTTTTTTGTAGTATAGTAGGAGGGTACATGCTCTTAATTTGACAAGAGACCTTGAAAGCAAGCGTAGAAATCAGGCTAGGGCTGAAACCTACAACTATCACAGGAACTGTCATGACACACTTCAAAGGAATCAGTTTATTTCTGAACTAAGTTGGGGATGCAGGGTATGCAAACTGTTCCAAGACAATTCTCCAGTAAAATAGTTCAAAAGGAACCCACTGTTCATTTTGAGGACAAGCTCTAAAATGTTGTGGGCTTTTTTGAATTCCAAAATCATTAAGGGAATCCTAAAGTTTTTCTGATGTCATTTTATTTTCAATGTGCAGTTATCACACACATATGTACACACAACCATGAAAAAGAAAATATATATATTCTAATTTTAGTTAATGAGAATATAAACTATTTTTATTTTCAATGTAAAAAAACATAACTCATTCACAAATGTTTATTATTATTCTAACCAATCTTTTCAGAGGCATGACAAAAGAAAACTAGAGAAAGGTCAAAAGCCAGCTTATATATGGATAAGGCATTCTTTAAGAAAAATTTTCCAGTGGCCATTTATGTACTTAACTATTAGGAGACAGGCTCCATTCAGGCATCCTTACACTCCCAAAATCCATCTTAAAAAAGCAGAATCTAAGAAGTTTAAATATGAAGAAAAAAGAACAACTTGGAAGAAAGAGTCAAAAAAAGTAACAGGCTCACATGCAATAAATCCAGAGTCCAAGGAAATACTAAAAGATGAGAAAAAAATAAAAAAGAGAAAAAATAAAGCAGATAAAGCTACATCAAAATTATCACATGAAAGTGAAGTATCTAAGAATTCAAAGTTCAAATCAGAAACAAATCCAGAATCCAAAGAATTTAAAGTAGTCTCAAAAAAGGATTCAAAAAAACATAACACTTCAAAGAATTCCAAAGAGACAAACACTGAATCTATATGTGCAAACAATGATCCAGGAAAGGATTCTAAAAAGAGTTCAAAGACTTATTCTGATGCCAAATCCATGACTTATTCAAAAAATAATTCAAATGTGGACTTGATGTATTTTGAGCAGTCTGGTGCAAAATGCACAGATGATGCTTGGTTAAAGAATTACTCACAAAATAATTCAAAGAAGCCTGCAAAGAAGGACACAAAGAAGGATACAAAAAAGGGCTCTGATGCTGAATCTGGAGACTCAAAGGATGCAAAGAAAAATTCAAAGAAGAATAAGAAAAATGCAAAGAAAGAGGAAAAGAAAAAAGAGGCAAAGAAGGACACAGAGTCCACTGATGCTGAATCTGGAAACTCAGAAGATGCAAATAAAGATGTAAAGAAGTCTAAGAAAGCTTCAAAGAAAGATGACAAAAAGAAAGATACAAAGAAGGATACAGTCTCCACTGATACTGAATTTGAATTGGAGTCCAAAAAAAGTAAGAAGGAAGACAAAAAGGAAAAGAAAGATTCAAAGAAAGATGACAAAAAGAAGTCTGTAAAGGAAGATACAGGTTCTACTGACGCTGATTCTGAATCTGAAGGAAACTCAAAACAGGGTAAAAAAGATGTAAAGAAGAAGAAAGATTCAAAGAAAGATACCAAAAATAAAAATGCAAAGAAGAACATAGAATCTACTGATTCTGAATCTGACTTGGAATTAAAGAAGGTTAAGAAAGATTCAAAAAAGGAAAAGAAGGGTTCAAAGAAAGACGCCAAGAAGGATGCAAAGAAAGACTCAGAGTCTACTGATGCTGAATCTGATGAATCTTCCAAGACAGGCTTTAAAAAGCCCAAAATGGTCAAAACTTCAGATACTGAATCTGAAGAGTCACTATATAAATCTGGGGCTAAAAAAAGAATTGATGAATCAGATTCAAAGAAGGAAGCAACAGAACTAAAGAGAGAATTCAGAATGTCATCCAAAAAGACCACATTCAAAGAAAAAGGGAAGAAAACAAGTACAGGTAGAGTTCCTCCTTCAAGAGAAAGACCACCACTCCCTCCTTGTGAGCCTATTCTACCATCACCTAAGGTCCCACGTTTCTGTCGATGCAAAATGCCTCCTCCACCACCAAAACCAAGATATGCTCCTTTGGTATGTTTTCTACTGTTTTATTTTTAAGCCAAAATAGATATAAAATGAAAGATATTTTAAAAGTGTGAATTTATATTTTATTTAAAGAATAGCTCTTTTTTACTGAAATATTTACAAGTTTGGGACTCAAAGGTAAGAAAAATTAAGAATACTTTAAAAGGACTCAAAAAAGTTATAAAACAAATGTTGAAAAGTTAAGAGAATAATAATTATTCAGTCTAGAGCAAAAATGATTATTTTGTAGTTTAAGAAAACATTTAAAAGTATTTGCAATCATTTTGCAAAAATTTTTTTGAGTTGGAGTCTCACTCTGTCGCCCAGACTGGAGTGCAGTGGCCGCTCCTGGCCACCGCAGCCTCAACCTGCTGGCCTCCGGTGATCCTTCCGCCTCAGCCTTCCCATTAGCCGGAATTACAGGCATGCGCTACCATGCCCGGCTGATTTTTTGATTTACTGTAGAGATGAGGTCTCGCTGCCCAGGCGGGTCTCGAACCCACGGGGCTCAGGCAATCCACTCACCTCAGCCTCCCAAAGGTGCGGGATTACAGGCTGAGCCACTGAGCCCGGCTTACAAAAGTTTTTAACTGTTCTATATTTAGGAAAGAACAAAAATGAAAATTGACTAAAATTTATATAGGGACATATTTAACTGATATACAAAGACATTTCCTGAGAAGTTGCTGAATACAGTAAAAACTCAACCAAAATCCAGAGATATCAGGTGGAAATATAACATATCAAAACTGAGATGTGCAACAATTAAATTATTTACCCCATATCTGAACTAAATTTTTTATGAATCTTTATTCTTATTCATATCAGAAAACAAAAGTCAACTTGCTAGAAGTAACTAGATCTCTGATTTATAAGTCTCTTTCCGGTTAGCTCTGTCACATTAGGGGTAAATATTCTGTTAATTGAACGTTTTTACTTCTCTCTCTCATCCAGGAAATAATCCCTTTCTGACTCTTTCTGATCTTTGGTTGAGCTGTAACTCACTTGCATGATTTCTGAGCATCAGCCTTTGTTTCCTCTGCTTGAACAATATCCATTGTCTATTTTCAGCAAGATAGGGCTACTGCTCTGTGCTCTGCTAAACTCAGAGCATCTGTAAATATGACTGAATCTTGACCTTAATTAAGCTTCTCATTATCATTAATTTCCCCGCCCCCCTTCTTATTTTTGTCCTATTTTCATTCTACTATCTCAAGGGGATTTTATTTCCTCTTTTAGTCCTGCAAGGTTCTGCTTTACATTATAATCCAAGGGGTTTTTTTTTTTCTATGTTTGGTATAATAAAACGTTGTGTACAGACCATCATTTGCTCTTCATATATTAATAATGTTTTTGGAAGTTAGAAACACCTTTTAGCTCTTTCAAAAGTTTAAGTTTCAAGTCCACTTTTTTATTTTTTATTTTTTGAGCCGACTCAAAAAGTTTGCTTTGAGAATCAAAGGGAATTAATTACCTCTTAGTCCTAAATGATATCTTCTCTCCTCACATTAATGTTGAGTTAATTAATGGGCATCCACTAGAACAAAAATCCTGTTAAGGAGTGAAAGTACGTTGAAAAATAATTTTTAAGATAATTTATTTTAAAGTCCTCCAGATAGCTAGACTCTTTTCCACAAGCAGTTTTTACGAAAACTAAATAAAATACAAGGAGAAAATTTGAAGGCAAGGATTAATTTTAATTGTAAAAAACAACTTTCAGAGTATGTTCTGTGCGTATTACATATTTATGCCAATATTTTAAATAAACTTTCATATACATAGACACTATTCGGTTAAGCCTTTTTATCTTTACCACTCCACTGAAACTTCTCTTTTAAAGGGTGCCAAATACATTCTTATGACCTCATTTACTGGTCTCCACTCTTTTCTCATCTTATTCCACAATCCAACAGCATTTCAACTAACCTCTCTCTCCAGGAAATATTTGCTTCACTGTTATAACTCTGTTTTGTCCTGTTTTTATTTCTATTTACTGATAGTTTTTAACCGCCTTCATTTAGCTAAATAATATCTTTATATGGCTACTTCTCAATATATATATTTTCTATTGCTTTCTACTACAATAGATGAAGATTTGGATTGTATGCATTATCACTTCTCTCTTTATATAATATAGTTCCATCTTTGTTTTTTGTTCCCTTATTAATTACTTTTGAATTTTAAATATTATATTTAGAACTTTTTTCTTGGTGTTCCTACTATCATCTTCAGTTCTCCTTTCCTGATCTTTTTTATCTAGTTCATTATTGAAAAGTGATCATTTAATGGTCCCTTGTAATGATCTTTCACCAAATGCCATGGCCTTGACTGCATCATGTTACCTTGTGCCTTCCTGTCTTTATCAAACATGTGTCTCCTCCCTTAACTTCCCTGAATTTTTACTATTATGCTTTTCTTTCTTCCCCTTCCTCATCTCTGGCATTCCTTCTTTTGCATCCATCTGAAAGTTGTTTATTATGTTTCAGTTCTTGGACCTCCATTTTTCTCTACTTACTCTATTTAAGAGCATTCATCTATTATTATGGTTTCCATTTTCACTTATTCGTAAGTATTTTCAGATTTATATCTCTAGAATTTTTTGCATCCAAACTCTTGCTTGTTATTCCCCATATTCAATCAATTAATTTCTAAGTTGCAGTGGGAGGTCAGAAAAAGCAAATTTGGGATTTAAATCCCCTATTAACTTGTTTTGGAAGCTTTTTTTGTGATTTGGTTTAAGTCAACTGCAAATAAGGCTAATAGTACTTAACTTACTAATTATAACAAATTGTTCTTAGGCTCAAATAAGAAAAAGAGCATGAAAAGGTTTTGTAAATGGCAAATCATTATACAAATGTAAGACTTTATTACCATTATTAGTGCCTTTATTTATATTACTCCCCTTTTTTGTATCTGGTTTTCCCGTTTTCTGCAGTTATCTTTTACAAAGCTCAACTTCCTCCCAAAATACTATAATACTTATATTGTTCACTGCTTGGTTAATATTAATATTGTCTTCCAATATTTTCCACTCATCATAGCAAACAGAACATTGTTTGATGTTTACAAAATGATTAATAAATATTTTTGACTGATTAACTTTGAGTTTTTACCAGAGCAGGTCCTGGTTTTCTTATTTTAGAGTTGAAAGTTCATATTTGGAATTTTTGTAGTAATCAGTAGACTAATTTATCTTTTCTGCTTCATCTGTCATATTTCCTGAGCAAATATTCTATGGCATGCATTGTGCTAAACAGTGGAGATATATAGATTCATGACTGTTTCTTTCAAAGGACTGAGTTTTACTCTAGGAAGTAAATATACCTGCAACTTGTGTTTCAGTTGTCCCCTATGAAGAAATTAGTCTTCCCTAAAACTAGGAACACTCAAGAGATCACATAAGCACTTCAGTTTTACATTATTTCTTCATCTATTTTACTTCTCAAAACTGGAAAGTGTGAAGTAAGTCTTCAGAAAAGGTATTTTATAAATTTTAACATTTATTTAAGATTAAAACACTCATTAAACAAGGGATATATAATTATCTTGATAATAGCTATCTATAAAATCTTACAGAAAATGTCATACTTAATAATAAAGTCAAGACACAATTCTACTAGGATAAAAAATGAGATTAGGATACATTAGATCCTTCTTTGATTTTCTTTTACAACCCTTGTTGGGTCTTATTGCTGCTACTTTAAAAAACATATGTAGAATGAGATCACTATTTTTCAGCTATCTTGCTACCACCCTCGTCTCAGCCATTGTTGTGTCTCTCCAGGACTTCTGCAGTAGCCACCTAAGAGATCTTCCTGCTTTTAACAATCCCCCCTTTATATTTTGAACACTGCAAACAGAGTGTTCCTCTGGACATCAGATAATGTCACTTCTCTGCTTAAAACCCTGAAGTTAAGGGCACTTGACATTTTGGGGAGTAACTGAAATGTTTAGAATCTTGGTTGTGGCAGTGGTTTGACAAGTGTTTATATCTGTTAAAACATATTGACTTGTACATCTTACAGTGAAGCAATTTATTGTACATTAATTCAATCAATAAAATTGATTAAATTATTTTTAGAACCAATGGTATTAAACTAAGAGACACAAACCAACTAAAAAAATCTGTAATGTTTTAGCATTTCATTCAAAATACATGTCAAAATGTTTACAATTGCCAGTGAGATTCTAGATCATCTGATTCACTTTTCTTTCTGATCTAATCTTTTCCTCTTCATCAATCTGATCTAGTCAAATTGGCCTGCTTGCTGTGAACACTCAACTATTCCAGGAATGCTACTTAGTATTCTTGTATTGGTCATATTCTCTACCTAAAACATTCTTTCTTGGGATTTCTTCATGGCTAATGCTTTCACTGCTTTAAATATTTGCTCAAATGTCAGTTTATCAATGAGGCAACTCTGACTACATTATTTAAAATAGTGAGAATTCCCATTTCCTATGTTCTCAGTCTTGCCCCTCTAAATTTTTTTTTCAAATAATTTGCTACCTTTCTTGTGTGTTGTGTATATTTCTGCTAGAAAATAAGCTGCATGAGGATGAAACTCTCTAATCTGTTTGCTAAGATATTAAAAATGCCCAAGAGAGTGACTGGCAGTCAATATTTGTTGAATAAGTAAAGGCGGTATTTATAGAACTAGCAATAAATGAGTGAACGAATTCTGGGCCGTTGTATGAACAGAAAGCAAGCTAGTGGCATGAATTTTTAGTCTGCCCAGTTCATTCATTAATTTATTATTTATTCAACGAAGGTAAAGAAAGTAACATTTGAGTGAGGTTATAAAAGATTAGCAAGATTTTGACAGACAGAGCCAATGAGGAAGTTTCTACTTAAAAACACCTAACTGGTTAGTAGAAGTGCCAGTCTATGAACTTGTGTCATGAGATGTAATATTAGAAGGTAATGCTGAAAGATGATATTAACTGAGACAGGAAACAGAATTTACAGACTAGTAGCCACATAAAATGAATGGACACAGGATTGACAACTGGCATAGTAAGTATGATATAAGGCCAAGGGAGATAAAAGCAGCAGCAGAATATTGTGTTGCCGCTTCACAACAAGTTTTTGTTTTCAAAGAAATACTAAATTACAAAATAAGTAAAGGGAATATGAACAAAGATATGTTCTGTATTATGGTAGTTTTTACAAAAGCATTTCTTAAATTTTATACTTTCCAAATACTTTTTTGCCCATTTTATAACTGTTTTACTGTGCTGCTACTTTGCTGTACCCTAAACATGCATGCAATTAGCCTACCCTTTCTCCATAAGCAACTGTGAGGTTTGGTGTATTCTTATTGCTTTCTGACTGTCAAGAATAAATTCTAATTCCAGAATCTGCCTTCCTTAGGCAATGTTCCATTTTTAGACACTCCCAAAACTCCTGTTAAAAAAAAAATATCATCATCACCTACTACCATTCCCTGTGCTATCAATCTAATTCCTCACTAAGGTACTAAGTTTAATTTTGGTTACTCTTTCAGTAATAACTATAGTTTAACTGAGGTTTCCAAAGATCTTAAGGCTGAATTCTAAATGAATGAATGTCAAATGTTTGAATTTTTGATAATGTGAAATCCTCTAGAATATGGCAATTTTATTGCTGCTCATAAATCAGGAAATATAGATAGAAGTTAAACCACCTGTATTTAAGGTGAGGACTAGTCAACACCTTGTCTCAATTATTTGAAAGACATAATGATGTAGGAAAATATACTGAACTGTGAACCAAGAGAATGATGATAAGAATCATTTCTGAAAATAAAAGAAAGATCCTTATAATAAAAAGTCAAGAAATAGGGACAGATAATTCATACAAGAGAAAATAAACAAAAGAAGCAAAATCATAAAAATTGGCCACACTTAGTGATCAAATCAACCCTGTGAGATCATTTTGCGTCTAATAATGCAATAAAATATAATATACATATAAGCCTTAGGTATATTAGTTATATAAAATACATGCAATATAACTTATGTATATTATCTATATAAGATATATCTTACAACTGTTGAGACTTCAGTAATAGAGGTCAACTTAATCACTGCTGATTGCAAAAAAAAATCAATTTAATTTAGTTTAACCTTTCTCTGGACCTCTCTGAGAAAATTTGAGTGTCATATGTAGGGTAATAATATTTAACTCAGTAATTCCACTTCTTAAAATGTATTGTAATTAAAAATTCTGCAGAAAAAAGCAAATTATATGCATAAATATGGTGATTACAATACTATCTGTAGGATAAATACTTTGGAATTAAAAACTAAATGTATAAAATTAGAAGAAGGGTTTAGTAAAATTTGAAACAGATTAGTACGCATTCATTGAAATGATAATGATAAGGCCTTGATATTTAGAGGCAAAAGTTCATACTATAATGGTAAGAAGAAGGGAAAACTACTATGGGATTACAACTAAGCAAAAATCTCCATGTTTGTGGACAAAAAGTACACAGTAATATGAAAATGTAAAAATATTTGTGTTGGTGTGATGGAATTTAGAGTAATTATCAGTTATTTTAAATCGATCTTTATGTTTTTACATTGTATTTTAAATTCTAATAGTTATAGTCTATGGATAGATACAATTGTGAGAGTTTAGACTAATAATAACATTGCTGGGCCTTGGTTCCTGTATAAACCCTGGTGATTGGACTAGTATTAAGTACTTCTCATTTTTCAGTGGCTGTTAGGATCACCCAAGGAGCTTGTTAAATGTGGACATTGCTGGACTCCATCTCCAAAAACTTAGACTTGGTAGATCTGGGGTGGAGCCTAGGTACCTGCATTTTAAACAAGAAATAATAAAAATGACATTCAAATTCCCTTCCATCTATGACATTTTTTGCTTTGGTGTATTCTTTAATACACCAAATTTTTTTTATAATTAATAGGCAAATATTTACTTTCTATTTTCATTTTTTACTCTATTCCTCAGCCTGAAGCACAGTGGATTCATAAGCTGCTTTAAAGAACAACTGAGCGCTTGGTTTCACAGAATGGCCTTACCACAGTAAGCAATGGCTACTCACAAATGAGCATTTCTACTTCTGTGGAACTTAAATAAAAAAAAAGTCTTCCATGAGTATCAAGAGCTGCTTTTTTGCATATAATTCATAGAAGTGATTTACAGAAAAATGTTCTTTATCTATTAAATGTCTGCATTATTCAGACCAAAGTAATGTAGCATTCAACTCCATGTTCTAAAGCCCACAGTCTGGAAACTATTTCTGAGTTTGGGTTTAAAAGTAGCAACTTTCCTTTGGATGCTTTTATTGTGCTTCAAGTAAACTTCTCTTTTACTTATCATTCAAAAAAGTAGGCAGAGAATGGAAGGAAGTGACCAGATCACTCACACCCTTGAAAGAAATAGAGAACTATATGTAGACAGTAATCCTTGACAAAAGTTCTTTGTTTGATCAAATTTTAGTGAGATTCCTGACCTCTTCCTAAGCCTATTGGGGCACTTTCTTGTAGAACCAAGTTATAGCAAGAAAGTTGCTAAGTCAGTTTAGCAAAAATCCTTTCACCCTGAATATCTAATTCTACAATATATGATTAAATTCCTCATCCTCCACCATCCTCCAAGTGATATCTGGAATCCTGTTTCGTCAGAATAACCAGAATAGTCCCTTCTCTACTCCTGATGTGGCCTCTCAGTAATTGTCCGTCCACTGTCTCCAACCTGCTTTTTGGCTGCAAATTCCCATTTGTCCATACGAGATTCACAGTTAAGCCTACTCTTTCTCATCCACTACAAGACTCCATTTCCATGGTCTTTATGCCTATCTATCATGATAGTTCACCCATGAATAAAGTGTGCATACCATCTTAAATAAGTGTCAGTGATTTGTTTCTTCAACTTCTCTACCCCACCCACTCATACAGAGAGTTCTAAACAGAATAATTTACCTTTAGATATTTTCCCTTTAGTTTATTTTTTATTTACTAATAAGCTGTACGTGTCTATGAGAGAATAACACACATTTCTCAGTCATTTTATATATTGCTATGAATATGTTGTCACGTTCTTTTCTGGAAGCAGGATAGTTGTGAGGAAGGGAGAGGGAGTGGGAGTGGAAGAGGGAGAAGGAGAGGGAGAGAGAGAGAGGGAGGAGAGAGAAGGAGAGAGAGAGAGAGAGAGATGGAGACAATCTTCACTTCATGCAGTCTACCTTCTGCATTTTTGTTATAATACTGACTTTAGTTCTCTCTCAGAAATGACTAGATTTCAGGTGCAGTTCTTAAAGCAGTGTTATTTTTCTAAGCCATTTGATAACCTTACATATGCCTAAATGACACATATAAAAGGTTTTTTATTGCAGTGTTTTAATTAGAAAAAGTTTAGAAACAATCCAATTATCCATCTATAAATGATTTGTTTAATATTTAACAGTACTGGAGCACAAGGTAATGTCATGTGAATGTGAAAAAATAACAAAGAAGCACTCTATGTAGTGATATGAAAAGATCTTCAATATAAATTTGAGTGAAAAAAATCAAGTTGCAGAAGGAAGGGTATGCTATATTATCTACAGTGCTTTTAAAAGAAGGGGAATGGAGAATATACAGAGGGTGCCAAAAAATGTATGCACATTTTAAGAAAGGAAAAACTATATTAAAATTGTAGATGAATATAAGTCACATTTGACTTCTGCAATTACAGGAAGTGCTTAAGGTAGTTACCATCAATGTTCAGACACTTCTTATTACGTTGAACTAAAAGCAATACATAAATAACATCTCTTAAAAATGTACACACATTTTGGTACCCCGGCATATTTACATTTACTTATATTTGCATAAAGAAACTCTAGGAAGATACAAAGTAAAATAATAAAAGTCATTACTTGCAAAAGAGGGGTGTTGTCTGGAGAAAAGATGGGTGAGGGAAAAGGGTAAAGTTAAGACCTAGTACTGATATTCAGCCAGTACACACTGAATGAGTTATATCAGTTGATATAAATGTCAGTTACTGACTCCAGTGCCCACCTTAAATGAGGCCTCTGTCTTCTCCCCTAGAACACCAAAGATTCTCCAGGAATCAAAAGCCAAGACATAATTCCAAGCATAAAAGGCTTATTCTGAGAAACACTTGTGAGGGATAAAGAGGGAGCAGGAATAGATAGAGAGAGACTTTAAACTGCCACACAGGTTGGATGCCTGTGAAAGGAGAAAAGAAAAACAAGGGAAAGCTGGGTAGGAAGAGCCTGGGCTGCACTGCAGCTTAGAGAAAGTCTCAGCCAGGCCAGTGGGGAGCCCAAAGCAAAGAATAGTCTTTAGACGTGTCTGTGTTAGGCAGGAATATCCTGGCTTTACTACCCTTAGGATGCTTAATCATTGACTGGGAGCAGTCCCGTGAAAGTGTAGCCCCAGCTAGTGAATCTCAAGAGAGCAGCAGTCAGAGACTGTCAGCTTACTTTGCTCCTCACAGCAGGATATCTCTTGAAGTGGGATCTGAGCAGCTGTCACAGTACAAATTCACTCTTCTATTCATGTTCATTCCTCAAAAATTACTAGGGGCTTCTCTTACTTAGGGGAAACTTATAAAGGGAGAATGGAAAAACTACAGCCCTTATTCCTTCTGTTGATCTTAGGGCTACAACTGGTCCACCCTTCTACACTCTTCATTGTAAATTCCCCTCATAGTCAGCCATCACTTCTACAGGTCTTGGTGTGTTACCTGGTGTTACAGTCTCAGGTGTATGCATCCCTAATAAACTGAGTTGTATGAATCTCTAATGATAATCTTTTAAGACTCAATTTACAGTTAAAATTGAGCAAGAATTTATCAAAAGACGCCCAAGTGAATCATGTAGCTTCCACCAATATCATTTCTTTTCTACATTGTGAAAAGCAGCTCCACCTCCTTCTGCAGTCCAAATTAAATTTCCCTTCTCAAGAGTGTGACTCTTCCTCTCAACATCTGTTTTCTAGGCATAAGGAGTCTAAAGTGCCCTGGACTCAATTACAACTTGTACTTCAGTGGACTCTTGTTGTGTCCCTTGGCAAGCATTATATCTCCCTTTTAAGATCAGTTACTATAACTGCAGAGCACATAGCTGCTGTGACAAGAAGCATATGAGCTCTCAGTGAGTCATTGGGAGTGACAACAAGTGGAGCCACTTCTGATTGTATTCCCTTGAACATATGTGTTCTTTCTGTTGAAGATGCAACACCATACAGAGATATCTGATTTAATGCATATACTTCATCTTAAAAGACAACACTCCATCTTGCAGAATAGTGTATCCAAGCTAATACTTCATTGTGCCTTTAGTAGGTCATTTAAGCTCTCTGTGAGGTCTGCTACTTCTGGATAGTGCAGTATGAAACATGGCCAGCGGATTTCATGGTCATGAGCCCACTTTCGCACCTGCTTTACTGTTAAGTGGGTCCTCTGGTCAGATGCTGTTCTCCTTAAAGGCCACCCCAACTATGGTTGTAATGTAGGCGCCATTCATTTTCAGCTTGAACCCACACATTGTGCCAACATATTTATAAACCAAGCTCAGGCATTTTTCCCTCCAGATGACCATAGGTGCAAACTGAAGGAGGGTGCTGGTGAAAATACAGTGGATGATGTGGAGGTTGCCACCTGCTCATGCAGATTACTCCTTCTGGTCCTGCTCATACTTGATCCTAGAATGACCATATCCATTTTATGACTGACTGTTGCTAGGCCTGTCTTTTTTTTTTTTTTTTTTTACTTGTTAGTATCAACAGAACTTGACTTATAATTGGCATTTCTGGATGCATGGCCATTTTGCATCCTATGGTATAAAGTTTTGCATCCTTTATGGTCAGGAGCTGTCTCCAAATGGGCATATAATTATCTGACATGGATGGCATGATCTTATTACAGAATTCTAGGTGCTTGCATTAATAGTCTCACACTGAAGCCCACCGTAAGATATACCCTGAAATTTTCCTACCACCAAAACCTCCAATACCATTGTGTCTGCATAATTACATGCCACAACCAGCAGACCTGCTGATACCAAAACACAGAATTAATGCAAAGCCCTTTACTGTTTCAGGACTGAAATCTGTCAGCCTCTAGTGTCACCCAGTAAATGAAATGGGGCCGTATTCTTAGGTGTGGAATATGTAAATCCAGAAAAAAAGAGGCCCACCAGGCATTGCATTTCCTTCTGTGTAATGTTAAATGCAAAATGCAGTAATTTTTTCTTTTTTGGAAGAGGTAATGACTCAGCATGCCTTTGACCACTGCATTTCTAAAATATTAAGTTGCAAATTCCTGAATCTTTTTAGGATTTATCATCTACTTTCTGGAGTTCATGTTTCTTAATAAGGCCTTCCTGCAAAGTAGTCACCTTTTGATATTTCTTCCTGCTCAGTGTGATGTCATCAATTAAACAGATCAGTGTGGTTTTTTATGGGGTTTTCAGAAATTACAGATCTTTTTGGACTATATTACATGACTGAGAAAGTTATCACAGCCCTGAGCAAGACTAAATAAATATTTTCTGTCCCATGAGGATGTGAACTGTTTCAGTCCCTCTTTTCTTATTGGAATAGAAAACAATGCATTATGAAAATCTTTGTGCCTGACGTCTTATTAATCTTCTCTATCAACGCTATCATGTTCAACACGACAGTTGCAATTTAGGCTACTAACTTTATTACCTTGTATTAGCCTGCAGTAAATTCTCTAGGATCCATTCGGTTTTCTCAGTGGCCAGAGTGGCAAATTAAACAGATATGAATGGGACTGTCACCTCAACATGCTTCAGATCTTTAAGAGTGATACAAATCATTGTCATTTAGCCCCAGGAATACTATATTGCTTTTGATTTCCTATCTAGAGGGAAAAGAAACAGTTACAGAGGTTATCACTTGGGCTTCCTCACTATGATAGCTCCTACTCAAGGGTTCATGGACCCCACAGAGGATTACTCCAACTGTTAAGTGTGCTGTTTGGAATTACACAATCAGAGATTGAGAAAATAACAACCGGGTGAGTTTGCAGACCCATTAAACCCACTGTAAACTAAACTATAGCCCATACTCTATTACCTGTCCACCTTTACAAGTTTGCTAGGGCTACCCAGTAAAGTGATAG